GGGGGGGGGGGGGGCATTTGTTCTCGCTCGAGATCTGCTCTCCTGCCTGCTCCCACCACGCGATCTTGCTCCTCCTGCTGGCCTCAACCCGAAGTTTCATTTGCCTTGGCCGGGCCTGATACCGAGCAGGTGAGCCCAAGTCAACAAGAAGAGCCCAACAGGATGTGTTGTATGTTGAAGTGAGAAAGTTTCCCCGCTAAAGCCTCCAGACTGCTCTTGACATAGAATGGGTGCGGTTGGCAGTTCAGGTCGAGGCCACAGCAGCAGCAGGTCAATGCAACAATGGCGTTGCCACTCATCTGTTTCTAACCCCGCATCGCTCACTCAACTCCATCGGCAATCCGTCTGTTATTGGTGCTGCGAATGTGCGAATGCAACGTTTTTTTATGAAACTACCGCTTGCTGTCGCAGGCCTTGTTTTCTTCTACTGGGTGGTCGCGTCATTCCTCATGTATCTCCTCCAAGTCCTCGTCCTTCTGTGACCGTTACACTCATTGCAGGTTCTCCGTGACAACATGAACATCCCAAACATCCCCTTGCCCAGGGGTATGAACTACCGGAAGTACATCAGACATGTGAGTTGTAGAGCAGTGTATTCTACAGAGTCCAAATTCTCTGACGCCAGATGATCGGAGAAAATGATGGAGTACTTGGTTTTTTCCCCCGCTCCATTCAGTTTGAGGTCGCGTCCACCTCAGTACAGCAGAACAGTATATGTGCAAGACCTTCTCATACATTGCACTGCTGTAGCAGTTTCTATTTTTTTTTGGCGATTTGCATCTGACCAACGACCTACAATCCACATTCGTGCTTGCTGTCGCAGGGCCGGAGGTTGTACAACCTCATCAAGGGCATGTTCAACTAGATGCTGGAGCAGCTGTCTGTGCGGATGGAACGAGCGGCGGGTATGGCATTGTTCGACCGTAAACCGGGCTCTTCTCGGCGGTTGATGGATCCTTAGGGACCATATCATACGCGGACTGGTGTTGCAACACGACCACATCGAGGACACGTAGTTTGGAGAAAGGGAATGAAGTCGTGGAAGCAACGGTCACCGCCAAAGCGGGTTGGTTTGTCGTCCCAGTAGCCTTCGCAGGGTTTTAACATGTTAGATGAAGCATGCAGTCCGGAAAATTGGGGTTTATTATTTGTCGGGAAGGCGGTCCGGGATGCTTCATCATTTTAGAAACATCTGGCGCTACTGCAGCGAAAGTGTGGGATAGGTGCAGAGGAGCACGGCTTGTAGCTGCATTTACGTCTGATTATTATTCACCATATTCTAGGGATTCCACCTAAAAAACGCACGAAAAAAACGTGTTTGGAAAAACGTGTTTCAGAAAGTGACGTTTGAAAAATCGTGTTTCGCTGTCTCCCCGCTAGTGCCGGTTGGAACCCCCCCCCCCCCGTGCTCTTGATGTTTGTTCGGACATCAGTACCCCCTCTTTTTTTTATTTTTCCGCAAACACGGAACACGCGGCGGCGTGATTTGGCGTGATGTTGGCAAGCACGCGCGTTGACGTCCTGAAGCAAATGGCGCGCCTATAGCGTGGTAAGATTCGGCATGAGAGGCATGGTCAAATCATGCAGATGAATACGGCGGCTTTGCTGTGTGCGGTGGCTGCAGAGGAGGAGCTTTTCCTCGTCCTGGCGGTAGTGGCAATGCGGCAACTCCAATCAATGCGTTCCCAACTCAAACCACGCTCGCAACTCGAACCACGCCGCCGGGTGAACTGTGCTAACCCTGACTTCCAAGCACTTGACCGCTGATGTGACTGATGATTGCTACCTCCCTCAAGGGGCGGGGATGTACACGAAGTCTGCCGTAGGAGAGGCGGCTACCGCGGTCACTGGTGCGGGTGAAAAGCTGTCCCAACCACGCCCACCACGCACGCCCCCAGTGCGTTCTTTTAAACACAAACGTTCACCGGAAATGACCCCAACGCGTGCCGGTTCCACACCAGTTGCCTCAGGGATTGATAGCTGTGCTCTCGGAGTACGTGTCGTGCGGTAAGGTGGATGTGTGCGTGTGCGCGCATGAAGTTTCTTTTTTTCAAACGCGGAAAAAAAAACGCGCCAAATGGAAAAAAAAACAGACGAACAGAAATTCGTACGAAAAGGCGAGGCGGAACTCCGAAACGCAGTTTTTTGGCGAAACACGTTTTTTTCGTGCGTTTTTTCCCGAGGTGGAATCCGTCTATTATCTTTGTGTTTTCGCGGGAAAAGTAGTCCAAGCTCCCTGCAGCGAAAACGTGCTGTGGCGGGTGTGGGGGGGGG